TCCGCACAATAACAACTTTTTCTGGAAATCTGTTGTGGAAAAATTGTTTCTCCTAATACAGCACATTCCTTAAAGATGGGGGCCTCAGAGAAATGCTCCTCGTGCATTTTTTTAACTGTGCAAGGTCAGAGCAACTTCTTTTGACTTCTAATCAAATTCCCTCAAGGTACATTTCATTTTTTAACAACTTCACGTCAACTGGATGCTTTCAGTGAATGGTTATTAATCATTCCTACTTCTCATTGCGTACCAGTTATATGTTTCCTTTACAAATATGCAATTCCTTATTGTAATAGTTGGCATGATGATTCTACCGAAAGAATGTAAGGTTCGTGGAGTATCAGCCTCTAGAAAGTGCTGCGGTCATTACAGTATTATTTCCCTTCAGCTAATTCCATGGCCTTTTCTAATGACAGTGGTGTTACTGTACATGCAATATATTTGAAGATGTAACTGAAATTCTCTTCAACATCCGCCGGTCTGTTTGTGTGCCTTGATGTGCTGCAGGGCGGGACAACCTTTTGGCTGCCGCGGGCCGCGTTCCCTATTTGAGAAAGGTCCTGGGCACATCCAGCTCAAGACCAATTCCGACATTCCAGCCCTCCCCCCCTCCCCCGTGAACGTCCTCCCAGGGCAGCGGCAGGAGCCGGCGGTCGGGTGGACCCAGCGCCCAGAGCCTTCACTGCAGTCTGTCAGGAAGGCAAGGGCATCTCTTACCAACCGGGGCCTTAGCAACAAACCACCAGCTCCTGCCACTGCAGATAGTGACCCGCGCTTGGGAGGGGGGGGGGGGGGGGTGGGGAGGGGGGGAGAGAGGGAATGAGGAGAGGGGGGATGAGGAGGGGGGTGGGGAGAGAGAGAGAGAGGGGAGGAGAGAGGGATGAGGGGAGGGGGGAGCGAGAGGGGGGTGACTCTCTCTCTCTCTCTCTCTCTCAGGCACTCTTTTCTCTCACACACACTCTCTCTCAACTAATCTCTCACTCCCCTTCTCTGACACTCTCTCTTCCCTCTCAATCACTCTCTCCCACTCCTTTCCTTCTCTCTCTCCCACACAATTTCTCTATCCCTTCTCAAACACCCTCTCTCAATCTTCCCCCTCTTTTTATTTCTCTCCCCTCTCCCTCACATTCACTCTCTCCCGCCCCACACTCTCCTCTCACTCTCTCGCAGTCTCTCTCTGCTCTCCCTCTTTCAATTACTCTCACAGTCTCTCTCTCACTCCGCCTTCTTACTTCTCACACACATACACTCTCTCCCTCTCCCCCCTCTACCCTCTCCCCACTCCTAATCTCTCTCTCCCCTCCTCTCACCTAATTTCTCTCTCCCCCCCATCTCCCAATCTCTCTCTCCCCCTACCCATCCCTCTCCCCTTCTCTACTCCCTCTCACCTCTTCCTCCCGCTCTTTCCCCTCTCTCTCCCCCCCTCCCACCCTTTCCCCCCCAATCTCCCATTCTTCCCCCCCTCCCCCACTCTCTCTCTCCATTTTCTCCCCCTCTCTGCCCCTCTCCCCCGTGCTCTCCCCCACGCTCTCCTGCTCTCTCCCACTCTCTCCCCCTTCCGCGCTCTCCCCCTTCCACTCTCTCCCCCTCCTGTTCTCTCCTCCACGCGCTCCCCCACTCTCTCCCCTATTCTAGCTCCCAAGCGCGGGTCACTATCTGCAGTGGCAGGAGCCTGCAGTTCATTGCTAAGGATGCGGTTGGTAAGAAACACACTTGCTTTCCTGACGGACTGCAGTAAAGGCTCTGGGCGCTGGGTCCCTTAATAGCCGGCTCCTGCCGCTGCCCACTCTCTCAATCCCTCCGTCTTGCCCCCCCCTCTCCCCTCCTTCAAGTCCCGCCTGAAAACTTTCCTGTTCGACCGTGCTTACAGGCACCTACCCCCTCCCCCCGGCTCGGAATCAGACTCTGCCACTGTTTAGTGCTCTGGGACGCTAACCTACATGGAGGGTGCTATATAAGTGCAAGTTGTTGTTGTTGCCTTGGGAGGATGTTCACCAGCGAGGGAGGGAGTGAATGGACGTTGGAATGTTGGAAATGGTCGCAGGCCTCATAAAATCACCCACCAGGTTACTGGCATTGGACCACACTGATCTACAAGATTGAAGAATATTTTTATTTGCAATCGGTGCTGTTCAATTGTAGAGACATCCTTCTAACTCTACACTGGTTCTAAATCACAAAATCTGCCAGTTCTAATGCAACAGTCCAGTATCGGATCATAACAAAACCACCTTGATGGTCCTGTTTCTACTAAGATCCTAATTGAGAATTTGCTATAAATACCATTTCCAACAATCAATCCAGCATCTGTTTAAAGCTGAAATATTCTCCAGCTTTGAAACTGAAATATACCAGATGTTTACACAGATTTGATCCCTAAAGAATTCGAAGAGCATTAAGATGAACCAGAGAATGGATTCAGAAATGGGCTGGCAGTGGAATATTACGGTGTCAGTGGAACTTCTAACAACCTTCAGTGTAATGTGAATTAACTATGTTCGCTTATCTCCTTTTTTATAAATCTCTTATTGATCAAATGAGCAAAGCTACAATTTTTTTAAAAAAAGCAATTAGCCCCTACGTAATTAAGATGAATTAAATTTATTTTTAAAACATTTCCAAATCTCAATAAATGTTGAACATTCTTACAATGACTGTCTCCCCATTTACTTGTTAAAGATAAAGGTTCTCAACAGGAAGGTGGAGCAGCAGCGTAAAACATCTAACAATGGACTGTTTGCTTTTTTCATATTCTGCCAACCACTGAAAATTGTATAATACCATGGATGATTTCCTGAAATATGATTGCCTGGCTGGGTGGCTGACTATGATTATTGAATAATACATTACAGTGGCAGTCTGTAAAAATAAAAGAAGATTGTAGAATTCACACAGGAAGAACGCAAATTTGTTTTAGGTAACAGTCTATCCACATTTAGCAAACAATTGGGCAGGGGCAGTTGTCACCGAAGTTAGATATTCCACTTCAATAACAAAAAATTTCCAGATACGTCTGCATGATTTTGGTGTATTATAAAAATGTTTCTGAAGATGTCATGGATCCTGTCGTGCCCAGTTTTATTTTAGCCAGCAGCTATTAATACTACAACTAATCTGTATTAGTCCCATCAAAACATGTTTTCATATGGAGTTATCACTCCCACCTTGAAGAAACCTTCCCTTGACCCATCACAGCTATCCAGCTACCGGCCCATCTCAAGACTCCCCTATCCAAGGTCCTTGAGAGAGCCGTTGCCTCCCAGCTTCGCTCTTTCCTCTCACTCCCTCCATGAGCCCCTCCAGTCGGGTTTCCGTGCTGCCCACAGCACAGAAACTGCTCTGGTCAAGGTCACAAATGACATCTTGACCATGCGTGACCAGAACTCCCTCTGTCTCCTCGTCCTCTCCGCTGCCTTTGATACTGTGGACCACTCAATCCTCCTCCACCGCCTCTCCTCCCACTTCAACCTTCAAAGCTCTGTCCTTGACTGGTTCAGGTCCTTCCTTTCACACCGCCTCCACTTTGTTGCGGTAACCATTTTCTCCTCCCGCACCATTTCGTGGAGTATTCCTCAGGGCTCTGCCCTCGGTCCCCTCTTCCTCACCCTCTACATGCTCCCCCTTGGTGACATCATCCGCAGACATGGGATAAATTTCCACATGTATGCGGATGACACCCAACTCTACCTATCTGCCTCCACCCCCAACTCCAGGACTACTGGCGTCCTGACCGACTGCCTGTCCGACATCAAGTACTGGACGAGGGCCAACTTTCTCCAACTCAACGTCAGCAAGACCGAGGCCCTCCTGATTGGCTCGCGCCAGCGCCTCCACACCTCAGGCGCTGGCAGCATCAGCCTCCACAGCTACACACTCAACCTCACTAAGCCAGTCAGGAGCCTGGGTGTCTTGTTTGATCCCAAACTGTCCTTTCTCCCCCACATCCGTGCCATGACTGGCACTGCCTACCACCACCTCCACAACATTGCCAGACTCCGCCACTGCCTCACCCCTCAGGCTGCCAAAACCCTCACCCACGCATTCGTCACGTCAAGGCTTGATTACGGGAACTCCCTCCTCATCGGCCTTCCCAACTCTTCCCTTCACAAGCTGCAGATCATCCAAAACTCTGCAGCTCGTGTACTCTCACGAACCAGGCTCCATGACCCCATCACTCCCACCCTCACCCGACCCCATCACTCCCACCTTCGCCTGACTCCACTGGCTCCCCATCCCACAGAGGATCGAGTTTAAGATCCTCGTTCTCACTTTCAAGGCCATCCATGGCCTTGCCCCCTCCTACGTCTCTGACTGGCTGATTCCCAACCAACTTCCCAACCTCCGTTCATCAGGCTCTGGCCTGCTCCATGTCTCCTGCCCGACCCGCCCTAACATTGGTGGCCGGGCTTTCAGCCTCTCTGCCCCCACACTCTGGAACTCCATCCCACGGTCCCTTTGCCTCGCTTCCTCCCTTGCCTCCTTCAAGGCCGGTCTCAAGATCCTTCTCTTCGACCGTGCCTTTGGTCTCCCTCCTATCTCTCTGCCTTCCCTCACCGCTAAACCACCCCTCCCCCATGCTCGGACCCCGGCATCTGACTGTTCAGCGCTTTGGGACGTCCTCCTGACGTGGAAGGCGCTCTATAAATGTAATTTTGTTGTTGTTGTTAATTTGCTGAATACTGCTAATTACTGCAATAGAATTACCTTCTTAATGGTGCCTCTTTTGCAGAAGGTCATTTTGAAATGGCATTCTTTATTCTCATACATGTTAGACAATCTTTTGGGAGTTTACGTATTATACCAGAATATTGTTGCTGAATGTGCATGGCTTAACTGATGCAATTTCCAGTGATTGATGATGGATTTAACAAAGGTTTTGAATGACCAATTTGATTTTTAGTACCTGTTGCAGGTCTGATTTAAATATTAATAAAGGCAGAGAAAATAACTGTAACTTAAAGAAATTAAATTATTCTGTTTTCTCCCTTTTTTAAAAACAGATGCAGATTTATTTTTATAACCCTGACTTTGAAGATATTGAGTCTGCAATTACAAGCAAAGGAGTTATTGGAGGAATGGTGATATTCTTTCAGGTAAGATAAGTTATATACTTTAATATATTAATCCACACAGAACAGAGATTTTAGGTTCAAATCTTAATATGTGCCAAGCTAACTTACATCCTTGCTGGAAGGTGCACATTTAGAGGGGTACCGAGGATAGGGTTGAGATCCACTAAAATACTCTCCCTTGGTCAGTGCTCATTGTCAAGACTTATTTATGAATAATTGCCACTTGAGTGAGACACTGGATGATTACTGTGGAGTCTCATCCCATCCTGCAGAAGGAAAAACAAGTCACAATGCATTCCGGAAAGGATAGAAAATTGGAGGAGATAAATTGGTGAAAGAGAGAAAAAAAGATTGTAAATGGGAGATTTTTAGCAGTGGCTATTTGCCACTCATTGGCACAGAATCTGTAGTCTTTCTCAGAGGGGGTCATAGCATGAAAGAGGAATGGAAATGTTTCAGCAGTGCAGTTGGAGGTACACCCGAGCCTTATTTCTACAGATCAATTGAATTCAAGGTGATCCAAGCCCATTAAAGCTGGAGCCAGAATAGGCTTTTTTTTTAAAAATTGCCCAGATTTCTCAAGATGTAAAACTTGCAGAATACTAACTATCTGCCTTTGACCCAAGAGCAGTTCAGTAAACCTCAAACCTAATTTGCATTCCATAACAGTATGTTCCAAACCTAACACTGACTCCTTAATGTGAAGAAAACGTCTGGAGAAATTTCTGTGCAAAATACTATGTAACTATAAAATAAAAATATATTTATGCTATATTTTTAAAATTATAATTTTTTTTGCAATTCCGCATCACTTAGGATCTGCCCGTTTGCCTCTTTAATAACTTGTTCCTCTATATTATTATTTATGTCTTTGCCATATCTTTGTGTAACTGTGTATGAGAGAATCGCTTTCATTACACTCGCGTTTTTCCTTTAACAAAGTATTCAACTGTTTAGTTAATCATTTTATTTTTTCTTGACCACAGGATGTTTAATGGCTGTGTTATCTGAAGATAACATTTACAAAGTTTCAATTTGATAAAACAAATCAACTAGGTTTTGTCTGTATAGAATAATGTGCTACAACAGTAATGACATAAATAGAACATTTGCGAAAATGTATTGCAATTCATTTAATTACCTAATAAGTCAGTTATTTTGCATGAATATTCTTTTATTCAACTGAAATCTTTCCCAGGGTGCAACTAATGCATCGAAGATGATAACTAAATAATACAGTATGTAGCTGCCAGTTTTAGGTTTTCAATCAGATCCCTCATAAACTGGCAAAGCTGAAACTGATTCTTTCCCACTTCAAGAGCAGTCACAATATGGTTTCCGGCTTGGCAGTGCCACAACAATGTGGTTGGGGGATGGGAGGGAGGGGAGAAATAGCACATTTCAGCAACGTATGCTTTGCCTAATTCATCAGCAGGCTTCTGCCATCTGTACTGAGATGTCTGACGCAGAGTAACACCAGCCAGCCAAAACTGTGCCGCTATCTGCAACTGTGCACTCCTCACAGAAGACGGACGTGTGTGATGGAATTTTTAAAAAAAGTTCAAAATCAAGTCTCTTTTTAATCTCAAATTATTATGTGTGCATTCTCCCCGTAACTTTTACAATGTATTTCCTGTAGCCAAATACAGACCTAAATGTTAGCCATTCCATCAGCAGCTGATTGTCTCAGGGTTATTCGAGGAGAATCTTAGCACACTTCATTTGCAAGAAATCTGTCAAAATATTAATAGGGTTGCTCTGTCCTCTTAGCAAATTTTTCTTTGAATTCATACCAGGTTTGTCCAATGTAAGTTCTGTCATGTTAATTATATTGCACTTCTTGTGTACGTAACTCCAGCAGTTTGTTTATGAGACCAAAAAGGGATTATATAGCATTCTTAATTCTGTTCTGTTGTGCACAGTATGGTAATAAGACAATCCCTAGAACACTGAGCAGTAAAGTTGCTAAAGAAAGTCAGCATATAATTAATATGGAAATTGGTTTGGATAGTGAAAAAGTTCTCTTTCTGCTCCACTCTGAAAATTACAAATAGAGAAAGCCCAGTAGCTAATGACAGTGCTATCTATTAACTTTTAAGCAAAGTAATCGGTTTTCTTTCCAGTTTGTCAAATGTAATATTTATAAAATATAGATTGAAAAAAAATTGATTTCCTCCTTTGTGTTGAAAGGGAACACTTGTAAACAACATTATCGCTAAGTTTATTGTTTCTAGTTGAACGAAAGCACAAAGAGAAAAAGGTTTAGCTTTTTTCTGAAATGCTGTACTCTGTCCAGCGCCCTTGGGACATCCTCCCGACGTGAAAGGTGCTGTACAAATGTAATCTTGTTGTTGTTGTTAGCGATAGATGTAACTGTTCTTTCGACAATGATGGATCCAATCTGGTGGAAATTACTCGTTAACCAATTTGAACTAGCTCCTGGTCCATTTGAATCCTTGAATTGAATTTGAACATTTGCATACAATTAAATTTAGAATATATCTGATCATATTGTACATTTCGTNAAAAACAGGTCTTAAGTAATATACTGTATATGTTAGGAGTCATTACAGTAGAGAAGTAGGAACGCCAACTGGAACTCTATGCAAACCAGTGATTGATACAAGCCAGTGACCTCCCGACAGTGTGTATGTGGTGTTCTTAGAGAGCTAGCACAGATGTGAATGATGGACTGAATATGATAATAATAATAATACTTGCATTCGATATAACGCCTTATCAGATTGTTGAAACATCTCAAAGCGCTTCACAGGATACACTATAAAGTAAACCGATTGTATATTCTGTGGGCGAAACTCCATCTGCGCACAGCAGTGTCCCACAAACAGTCGTGGATTGAGTGACCAATTTATACTTATTTATGGCCTCAGCACTCCTGTCGCAAAGTAACCCCACACAAGTCACTCAGGGGTGGATTGGAAATACAAAGGGGCAAACAACTTAGAGACTTAATACAGGTCCAATTTTTTTTCAGGATCTTAAAGCTCAGGATAGAGAGCACTCATCAATGTCATCACAATTCCCCCTTGTCCAAATGGGACCAAAACTTGATGTCATTCGGTGCTAAAATTTCTGATTCCTTCCCTATGATCTTATCAATTGCAAACAGTGGTTCACTGGGGTGAGGTGCCTTTGGTAATTCAGATCAGTTGGTATGGGATAAAACAATGGCGTCAGCAATGCTTCAGCAATAGTAGGAAGATTAACCTCCTCTGATGTCCATTCAGCTATTTTGGGGTGGATATTATCTTTGGAAAATAATAATAATAATAATCCTTGCATTTGATATAGCGCTTTTCACGTCGGGAGGACATCCCAAAGCGCTTCACAGAACACACTGTAAAGTGAATTGACTGTATATTTGTGGGTGAACGCGGCAGCCAATTGCGCACAGCAATGTCCCACAAACAGTCGTAGATTGAAAATGACCAATTTATTATTGTTTTTGGTTTTGGAGGGATTATTATTAGGCTCTGTGTGGAGTAAGGAAACTTGCCCAAGGTTTCGCCCTCTGCCTGGAAATGAACTCATGTCTCTCACTTGCAAAGCGAGTGCTCTAACCACTGAGTTACAGGACTCCACAGAATGTAACACAAAATGTAACGTGATTATAGCAGACACCCATTTCGAGAATTTTTGCCTGAGTATGGATTTACTCTTATTTATTAGCGCTTCAGAATATCTAGAATTTGGCAAATTCTTTTAAGTTTCTTTTAAGAGCTACAGAAAACCTAACTTTAGAGTTTAGACTAACTCTGCCTCCTCCATCCCCTTTGACCTCTCTGCTGCATTTGACACTGTTGACCATTCTATTCTCATCCACCTCCTCTCCTCTCACCTCAACCTTCACGGTTCTTTTCTTGAATGATTCAGAATGTACCACTCACACTGCCTCCACTTCATCTCCACATACAGTTTCTCCTCTAGCCCCCGCACCGTCTCGTGTGGCGTTCCTCAGGGCTCTGTCCTTGGTCCCCTCCTCTTCAATATCTATATGCTCCCTCTTGGTGACATCATCCGCAGGCATGGGTTCAACTTCCACGTGTATGCGGATGACATCCAACTCTACCTCTCTGCCTCCACCCTTGGACCGCTGATGTCCTGACATCAAGTCCTGGATGAGAGCTAACTTTCTTCAGTTGAACGTCAACAAGACCGAGGCTCTCCTGATTGGCTCCCATCAGTGCCTCCACACCTCAGGCACTGACAGCATCACCATCCATGAATTCACACTCCACCTTGCTGAGCCAGTCTGGAACCTTGATGTCTTGTTTGACCCTCAACTATCCTTTCTTCCCTGCATCCGTGCCATGACCCAGAGGGAGCGGGCAGGTTGGTTGCTGACACCATTTTTTTATCCCACATCCACCACCTCTGCAACATCGCCCAGCTCCGCCAATGCCTCACACCGCAGGCCGCCAAACTCTCATACACGTATTCATAACATTCAGGCTTGACTATGCAAACTCCCCACTTGTCGGCCCCCCCAACTCCTCCCTCCATGGGCTGCAGATTATTCAGAACTCCGCAGCCCGTGTCCTCTCCCGCACCAGGCTCTGTGACACTCTCACCCCCTTCCCCCCCCGACTCCACTGGCTTCCTATCACACAGAGGATACAGTTCAAGATCATGGTCCTCACCTTCAAAGCACTCCATGGTCTTGCTCCCCCTACCTCTCCGACCTCCTAACCCTACCACCCTGCTCGCTCCCTCCGCTCAGCGGGCTCCAGCCTGCTTCACGACCCCGGCCTCACTCGCCCCACTATTAGCGGGAGGGCCTTCTGCCACTCTGCCCCGCAGTCCCTCCGTCTCGCCCCCTCCCTCGCCACCTTCAAGACCCACCTCAAGACCCTCCTCTTCGACCGTGCTTTCGATCTCCCTGCTTCTCCCCCCCCCTGCCCTCCACCCTCCCCAATCCAAACCCTCAGCTTGGGTCCGAAATACTGACTGTCCAGCACTTTGGGACGTCATCCCAATGTGAAAGGCGCTTTACAAATGTA